TAGTTCATTTTACTTTCAATTCATCATCTGGAATATGGTGAACTTTTTACCAGTCATCATAATGTGTGGGTATACAGGCTGGGCTGAAACTGAATATGTAGATAGATAGCCCTGTGAGCCACTGTATCAGCTTGCTTAAATAATTGCATCTCTTAGACTGGGACCTTGCTGCCTTTGCATTGTATACCAGAAGGCTCATATTTCAGTGAGATAACTCACAACATTGAAATGGTGTTGTTGGGTTGGTTTGTAATTGATAGTTTATTTGTATCACATTTCTATTCTCATAAAGCATTTTCAATGCATCCATTGCCCACTAAAGTTACATGTCATGCCCTAGTTTTACTTTTTGAACATCATCTCAAACCAAAACAAAATTAAGTTATCAGTAGCATGACAGCTGTATCACAGGCTTAGGTTCCCAACATCTAGCATATGTCGGTCTGTTGGTGCAACTGTCCGCTTGATTTTTCTGGTAGAAGATGGTTACTGTTCTGTTAGCTGCCTCATGCTTCGGAAGAGAACCTTAAGCATGGCTAGACAGTCAGAATCACTGCTGCTTTAGCAGGAGGTGGAACTCAGTATGGTGTAACTCTTACCCCTCTGCCCACTAGTTCCTAGTCTAGAATGTTTCCATATACTGGTGCTTACCTGTTCCAACTGGTACCCTTCTTAACAGCCTGCGACATATGGTGTCCCCCCCCCATTCCATGCTTTGATGAGGTGTGGTGCAAGTGTCTGTGGGGGTGTGATTTCATTCAAATTGCAGCAGCATCTCAGGTGTTGCATGTCAGGTACACGTTTGACATATATGCCTGTTACTCACTGTGACCACTCCCTGTTTGGCCGCAGTTGCACCGCACCAGTGGTGTGCGGTGGGCATCACATGCATCTGCACCCAACAACATAGCGCTGGAGCGGATACGCAACATCGGCATATCTGCGCACATCGACTCTGGCAAGACGACCCTCTCAGAGCGCATCCTGTTCTACACCGGCCGCATCAGCGAAATGCACGAGGTAATGCCTGCAGGGCACCATCTCTTGACGGAACGGCTGGTGCGACGAACTATCAGTGGGGTGCTCTAGGCCCAGAAAATCGCGAGATATCTGCTGTTGAGCGGGCACATCTCGCTGTGATGGTGTTAGACAATAGCTCTAGGAGTGAGATGCTCGTTGGATCCTCTTCTGCGCGCCCACATTCCGTTTTGACGGTATCAAGCAAAAGCCCTGCGGGTGGTTGTGGTAACCACTGCTTAGCACATTCTTTTGAACTGTCATGCTGGCAGACCTGTTGGTGGATGGCCTCTGCTGAGCGCCGATTCTTCACGAGAACGGTGCCCTGGGCCGAACCCGTCGCTTTTCCTTTTTGGCGGTATGATCTTACGTGCTGCTGATTCGTATTACCTGCTGGTGCGTGTGGAGAACCATAGTTCTTGGCTGGGATGGCTACAACAATTTGGATGTGTGGCATGTGCTGTTTAGTTGCTAAATGATTTATTAATGATTCAGTAAGATATGAAGCTGCCTGGTTACATCATCAGATAATCGTGGAAGCACACCATAGTTCGACGCTATGGCATGCTTATCGACACTAACTGCACCACATGCACACATATTCATGCATACATGCACATTTGGATAATGCATATATACATGCATGTATATAGGCACACATATGCACATCCATGCATGCATATAAGCATACAGGCACACATACACATGCATGCATGCGACCACCACATACATGTGTACATACATACATACACATATACCTACATGCATACGTGTGTACATGGCCCGCACACGTTGACCGATACAGACCCACACATGCATCCCCCCCCCCCCACACTGAGTGCGTCGTAAACCACCATTAACACAGACATTACTTCGCCCATAATATATTCATAGATCATAGCCCACAATCTTCTTTACCCAGATCTCTTAACTTGTTCTTCACACATAAGTTACTTGTCCACTGCGCCCATGTACTTTTGCGGTATGGAAATTTCTTTGCTGCACCGTGTGACGGAAAATGTCCTTGTCGAGCAAATAACCGTAATCATCCCCTTCTCGCGGTTTATCTACTGCGCCTGGAAATGTGTCGTTCCTCGTTGCCTTCGCCTACACGTGATGGTGTGCTCGTCCTCCTGACGATCGGTGGCTTACTGGCTTTGTGTGTGTGCCTGCCCTGCTGTGGTTTGGCCTGCCCGACCACGAGCTGACGGAGGCGGCGCGCGCCGGCGGCAGGTGCGCGGCAAGGACAACGTGGGCGCCGTGATGGACTCGATGGAGCTTGAGCGGCAGCGTGGCATCACCATCCAGTCGGCGGCCACCTACACCATGTGGAAGGACCACAACATCAACATCATCGACACGCCAGGTGAGGCGGCCGCCGGCGGTGGCACCCCGGCCTTGTTTGCCTCGGAGGTTTGCTCCTGACACGACGGGCCACGCCCGGTCTGTAGACAGCGCTGTTTGTTTGCCGTGACGTGACCGGTGTGTGGCCCGCGTGAGAACGACCGTCTCTGACATTGCTGTGGCCGTTGACATCGGCCGTGACCGTTCGGCGCGATGTCCCCGCTGCCGCGCGCGTGGCCCTTGGGCGGCGCGCTCGGCGCCCGGGCTCCCCGTGACACGCGCCGCCCGCTGCCGCGCGCATGGCACCTGAGCGGCGCGCCTCGGCGCCCGGGCATCCCCGGGACACGCCGCCGCCCCTGCCTGCCGCGCGCGTGTGGTCTCTGGGCGGCGCGCTCGGACGCCCAGGCTCCCGTGACACGCGCCGCCCGCTGGCCCGAGCTCGTGTCTCTGGGCGGCGCGCTCGACGGTCCTGCTCTCCGCCCTGCCGCGACACGCGCGGCCCGCTGCCGCGCGCAGCACCGAACGGGCGCTCGCGCCCCGGCTCCCCCCGACCCTGACGCGCGGGACGACCCGTCTTTGCCGCGCGCGTGGTCTCTGGGCGGCGCGCTCGGCGCCCTGGCTCCCCGTGACACGCGCCGCCCGCTGCCGCCCAGGTCACGTCGACTTCACGGTGGAGGTGGAGCGGGCTCTACGCGTGCTGGACGGCGCCGTGCTGGTGCTGTGCGCCGTCGGCGGCGTCCAGAGTCAGACGCTCACCGTCAACCGCCAGATGAAGCGCTACAGCGTGCCCTGTCTGGCGTTCATCAACAAGCTGGACCGGGCCGGCGCCAACCCGCACCGCGTGCTCGCGCAGATGAGGTGGGCGCCCGGAGGGGCGGGACGTCATGGCTCGCCGGGCCCTCGCTGGTGTTGGTGTGTCGCTGGTGAGGCGAAGGGCTGGAGTCAGAGTCGTAGAAGCACGGGATGTGCACCTCTGCAGTCCGTCCTGTGTAGTGTTCTGCCTCAGCGACGTGCCACAGCATACGGACCGGGTCTGTCTCAGCCGAGGCGAAGGGCGCGAGTCGGCCAGCGAAGTCATCTGATATCCATCCACGCTGGTAGATGCGTCAGCCTGCAGTGATGGGATGAAGCTTGTCACACTCCGCAATAAATGCATGTGTTCATGGGAGACTTTGTTCAGCGGCCTGACATATCTGCATTCCAGGACGAAGATGAATCATAACGCGGCCTTTGTGCAACTGCCCATCGGCCTGGAAGGAAACACTCAAGGGCTGGTGGACCTCGTCCAACAGAGAGCCATCTATTTCGACGGCCCATTCGGGTAAGTAGCAAGCTCACTGCGTAAAAGCGATTAACACAGGCGGGCGTTGCTTGCGTTTGCTCCGATCGTCGACCAGGTACTATCGCGACCCATTGACGTAGCCGAGCGTGGATCGCCGTGTTGTCGCGTTGCCGTGGAGGCCGTCGCGGTCTTTGGCCGTGGTCGGCAGTGTCCTGACCTTGCCCCCCTCGCCCCCCGTTTGACTATGCGCTCCAATGGCAGCGAGATCGTGCGGTACGACGAGGTGCCGGCCGACATGAGGGCTGAGGCGGAGGACGCGCGGGCAGAACTCATCGAGCACGTGGCCGACGCAGACGACGAGCTGGGCATGCTGTTCCTGGGTCAGTTGTCGCCGTCTCCTGTGTCAAACTGTCGCTTTCTGTGTCTGACGGCGGGTCCGTACATGCCGCCTCGGTCTTTGTCAGATTGTGTGCCTGCCTGCTGGGCGGTCGCTGCCGCCTGATCGCCGCAGTTTTCGTCGGGCAGTTTGTCGGTAGTCATCCGTCTGTCCGTGTGTGACCAGCTGGGCTTGTCTCCGGCGGTGGTGACTCCTGGCCGTGTCCCGGAGCTGGCTCTCCCGGCATAGGAGCCGGCGCCATGTGACCGGCTCTGTCCGTGTCTGACGGTATGTCTGTCTGTGACTGCTTCGGTGCGTGTCCGTCGCTGTCTGTTCTGCCCTCTAACCTTCCCCGACCCGACCTGACCTGACCTCTGACCTGGCTGGCAGAGGAGCAGACGCCGTCGGAGCAGCAGCTGGCGGCGGCCGTGCGCCGCGCCACGCTCGCCCGCCAGTTCACGCCCGTCATGATGGGTACGGCGCTCAAGAACCGCGGCGTGCAGCCGCTGCTGGACGGCGTGCTCGCGTACCTGCCCAACCCGGCCCAGGTGGAGAACTTTGCGCTCGACGAGACCGTCCTCACGTGAGTGGGGCACGGCGGGGCAGACGGGCTGCGACAGCGCGCGGTGCGGGCGGCGCGAGGTGTGGTGAGAATCAGGGCGCCGAATGCGATGTCTGGAGTTCGTATTTGTCGTAATGCAGTGTCCTATCCTGGTCTACCCTTTACTTGTACTTGGTGGAAGGAAAAAGGCTTTCGGCTCTTGTTTTTGGAGGCTGTGAGTCTAGAGTTTTTATTCTGGCAAGATTGACCTTCAAGGTTATCGACGTTCAAGAAGCCGGGAGGTACTCGTGAAACAATGTTATCGAGCAAACATTGCCAATACTTAATACTTAACGTCCTAACCTGTGCTCAGCATCCCGTCTCACGTGTTTAGTGTCCCTATCCCCAATATTATGCGGCCTTGGTAGTGGAGGCGTGCACACAGTTCTGCTGTCGGCTTGGCTATCAGCACAAAGGCCATTGGCCGCGACACGGCTTTCGAGGACATCCGCTGCAGCCGCTGACCGTGAGCGGCCTGACCGCAGGCCGGAGGGTAAGCCGAAGCAGGTCCGGATGAGCCCGCTGCGCGACAGCTCGCACCCGTTCGTCTCGCTGGCGTTCAAGCTGGAGGCGGGCAGGTTCGGCCAGCTGACGTACCTGCGCTGCTACCAGGGCCGTCTGGCCAAGGGCGAGATCATCTTCAACACCCGCAACGGCAAAAAGGTGCGGCTGGAGCGGTGGGTGCCGCCGGTGCGGGCGCTGAGTCGCCCCGCTGAGGCCGGTCCTCTCGATGGCGGGTGGACATGTACCGGGTTAAGTGGTCAGGCGTCTGACGAGAGCGCGGTGGAGGAGGCCCGCGCGGGGATGTCTGACGCCGTTGCACGTTGTGTTGCTGTCTGATGAAGTTGGTGTCTCCTCGCTGTCCGGGGCAATGTGTCATGCGGACTGAACCGGCTGCCCTCAGCTGACGCTAGCTGGGTGCTGTGCGGCTGGGCAGGAGGTGGTCGGGTGATGGCCTGGGTGCGGTCTGACGCACCGTCGTGGCCGGTTCCAGCGGGTGCGCCCGGTCCACGTATTGTACGTGTGCGTCCGTCGCCCCGCCGCGTTGGAAAGTTGAGCCGTCAGCCAGGCTCGAACCGGCGCCGTCTACCTCAGGTGCGCGTGGCCCGCCTGGTGCGGCTGCACTCTGACCAGCTGGAGGACTGTGGACGAGGTGTTCGCCGGCGACATATTCGCCCTCTTCGGCGTCGATTGCGCCTCCGGAGACTCCTTCGTCTCAGACGCCCGGCTGAACCTGTCCATGGTGCGTGGCCGCCGGCGGCCGGGGAGGCTGCGGGAGTGGGTGGCCAGCTGCCGGGGAGGCTGCGGGAGCGGGTGGCCAGCTGCCGGGGAGGCTGCGGGAATTGGCGGCCGGCGGCTGGGAAGGCTGCGGGAGTGGGTGGCCAGCCTACGGGGAGGCTGCGGGGGTGGGCGGCCGGGAAGGCTGCGAAAGTGGGCGGCCGGCCGCCGGGGAGGCTGCGGGAGTCGGTGGCCGGTCGCCGGGCTGCGCTGCTGCCTGCTGGAGAGACTCCCAGCGGACGGCTCGTGACAACAGCCGTCTCAGCTCATCACGACCTTGGCGGCCAGAATGGCGGGCTGCATCGCTCTTGAGAGCAGCGTTTGTCTTGTCCACTGACGATAAAGCGAGGGTTATTGCGTGTCGAGGAAGTAGGGCAGTTAGGTGTCGCGGTGTCAGAGTGTGTAGGGCAATTGGGTGTCGCGGTGTCAGTGTGTAGGGCAGTTGGGTATCGCGGTGTCAGAGTGTGTAGGGCAGTTGGGTATCGCGGTGTCAGAGTGTGTAGGGCAGTTTGGCGTCCGGGTGTCGGAGTGACGCCACGTGTCACCTGGACAGGGAGGGGTCACATCCATGTCACACGTAGTTGAACACCCGGTAAACACCATGCAGAAGCCACGCGCCATACTCAGTTCTCGGTGGCTAGATCGCTGCAAGTAATGCGCTACGGTGATCATTGGTCCCCCATCACATGCGCACCAGTGGGGTGTCGGGCTACGCTGGCTGGCTGCGCGGGCGAGCAGTGGCGCCAAGCCGGGCCGGGCCGGGCCTGGTTCGGACCAGCCAGCTTCACCCCCCCTCCCCTCTCCCCGCCGTAGGAGTCCATCTTCGTGCCGGACCCCGTCATATCGATGTCCATCAAGCCCAAGAACAGCAAGGACGTCGAGAACTTCGGCAAAGCCGTCAACAGGTCAGCCCGGGCTTGGCCGCCGGTGGAGGGTCGAGCTTCTATGTGTCGGGTAATTGGTGCAGATCGGCACTGTATGCGCACCCCTTTGGAACGTCTAGCTTGTTCCTTTCACGTATAATCGGAGGGCGGGACCGTCGCACGTGTTTCCCTGTCGGATGCTGAGCGAGCCCGCCGGAGGCGTCGCTCCGGGTGCGTCGCAGGTGTGGCCGGTCCTGATGGGGTGCTGTCTCCCATGCGCGGATCGCAGGTGTGGCCGGTCCTGATGGGGTGCTGTCCCATGCGCGGGTCGCAAGTGTGGCCGGTCCTGAGGGGGTGCTGTCTCCCATGCGCGGATCGCAGGTGTGGCCGGTCCTGATGGGGTGCTGTTCCATGCGCGGATCGCAGGTGCGGCCGGTCCTGATGAGGTGCTGTCCCATGCGCGGCAGGTTTACCCGCGAGGATCCCACGTACAAGATCATGTATGACGACGACTCCAAGGAGACGATTGCGGCTGGCATGGGCGAACTGCACCTGGACATCTACGCCCAGGTGAGCGGCGGTGGCGCTGCCTGGCGGCAGACTCTACAACGGTGCCGCTGGGGTGAGCGCGGAGTACAGGTTAACCAGATGTAACATGCGACGGGTTCCACAGCTCAGTTCCCTGGGCTGACCTGTGTCTACTCCCGGACCTGGGGGACCTGTGTATGTCACCGCCCCAGAGGGCTCACCTGAGTGTTCCCAGATCCGGGGGGCCGACCTGCGTGTCAGCGAACGCGGGTCTTACCTGGGTTTGTCCTCAGATCCGGGGGGTCTGACCTGTGTATGTCCCTGGACCCGTGGAGCTCACCTGGGTCTGTCTCCGGCCGCTGATCCGCGCTGCCACGGTTGCAGCGAATGGAGCGGGAGTACAACTGTCCGGTGGTGATGGGCCAGCCGAAGGTGGCCTTCAGGGAGACGCTGCTGGAACCGTGCTCATTCGACTACCAGCACAAGAAGCAGTCGGGCGGCGCCGGCCAGTACGGTCGGGTCCTGGGCGTGCTGGAGGTAGGCGGCGTTTACAGTGCCCACCGAGATCATACGGATCTGTGTTTTCATGCATTTAGGCGCAATGCGGAGGAAACTGACATCATTTATAACCTGAAGGTGATCCATCACATGGTGGTGTAAGGTGGATGTAACCTGCCTTGGAATTATCTGGCTCAGCTGGAAAGTGTAACTTAGTGGCGCATCATTGAGGTTGCAAGCAAGGGTTGGCAGCTGGGTTGGCTGCTGGAAGAACTGCGACACTCACGTGACGGGCCGGAGGACGATGCGAGAATGTGACGCGGTGGACACGACTCCCTGTCTCAAGCCTGTTCCTCGAGCGGTGCAGTCCCGTGGCCATGCTTGAAGCTGCATCACTAGCCGGTGTCAACTCGGATAGCCGCAAACGCATGACGTTTGAACCGTTGATCCGATTTCATGTGATTCACGGGGCCTTGCACGTGCTCGTCTTGGGTCGTCTGGCGGATTCCCTGACGCGGATTTCATGCGAGTGTGCCTTGCTGCAGCCCCTGCCAGCCTCCGAAAACACCAAGCTGGAGTTTGTGGACCAGACAATGGGCACCAACGTGCCCAAGCAATTCATTCCTGCCATCAAAAAGGGATTCATGAACATGACGGAGAAAGGCGCCCTAACTGGTAGGTCTGCCGCAATGCTCGCAATCCATATGCATTTATCAGTTTGCACCTGTGTACGAATATTTTGCATCAATGTGTGCAGCTGTCGAAGTGAATGATTGGATGAAGACTACTTGGGTATTGTGTCATGTAGTCTTGTCTTGCCTTCACTGGCTGACTAAAAAAAAAAACATGGTGCAGGCAGGGACGGTGTCTAACTTCACCGTCGCTTGGAATCTTGCGCCGCCGGCGGCCGGCCACGCCGCGGGCGGGGAGGGGCGGGGTGAGGTGACCGCCGACCGCCTGCTGACCGGTCCGCGTGACCCCGACAGGTCACAAGATCTCGGGCGTGCGCTTCCGACTGCTGGACGGCGCCAGCCACGCGGTCGACTCCAACGAGATCGCCTTCATCCTGGCCGGCCAGGGCGCCGTCAAGGAGGGTCAGTGGCGCCGGTCACCTGCTGCGGGCAGGGGCGCGTGTAAAGGGGACGTGGACATGCACAGGGGACACAGGAAAAACGGGGAAAAGGGGCGTGCGCAGGCGCTTGTTTTCTTGAGACATTCTAAGCGTTTCTGCAGAAGTATATCGTGGAACGATTTTTACAGCATTTTGGCCTACCCACGAGGATGGGTTTGGATTGCTCCCCCCCCCCCCTCCCCCCGCATGAAATCCTGGGTGTGTCCCTGCAGTGTGAAGCCAGCGGTCGTCCAGAGCTGCTGCTGTCTGCGCTGAGCAGCCGTCAGGTTTGGCAAGAAGGGCTACATGTTTTGTGGAGGTGTATGTAAGCGCGAGCACACGCGCAGCTGCAGGCAGCTGCTGAGGTCCGGCTTGAGTTCCGTCCCGGTTGGGGCCGCGGGAGCAGCGCCTGCCGACGGGTGCGGGGCGGTCTAGGGTCACGACTGGACGGCCGGTGAGCTGCCGTGCAGGTCAGGTCAGGTGGGGTGGGGACCGGCTTGAAGTCCGTTCCGGTCGGGGCCGCGAGAGCAACGCCTGCCGACGGGTGCGGAGCGGTCTAGGGTCACGACTGGACGGCCGGTGAGCTGCCGTGCAGGTCAGGTAGGTGGGGCGGGGACCGGCTTGAGGTCCGTTCCGGTCGGGGCCGCGGGAGCAGCGCTTGCCGACGGGTGCGGGGCGGTCTAGGGTCACGACTGGACGGCCGGTGAGCTGCGGTGCAGGTCAGGTCATGTCAGGTGGGGACCGGCACACTGACCCGTCGCTCGACCGGTCACGTTTGGACCCGGCGCCGGCAGATGTCGCGCAGACACCTTTGTCGGCGCTGGGGGGGGGGGGGGGGGGCACGCGCTTAAGCGGCCGCCGGTGTGTGTAGTGGAAAATCATGGCTGTATACTGTGAAGCGGCCTTGGCGGTATCCAGCAAGCGGCGGGATAATGTCGCAAAATGACTTTTGGGGACCTGGGAAGTGAAATATGAAGAAACTTACCCTCGAAATAAGCCAACAAGCAGGTTTCTCCCCGACTTGGTCCGTTTTCTTCTCAAACTTGGAACTGGAGCCAAAGTTTGGGGCCTGCCCCTCCCCCTCTAACTGAAAAGGAAACTGCACCCCCGCCTGCAAGCATAGTGGGATTGATTTTTGGTTGTGTATGATGGTCGTGTAAGTGACGATCAGTTTTCAATCAGACTGTTGTCTGCCGGACCGTGTATGCGAAGATCTGTCAGTCCACGTCCGTTCACCGTCTGGGTGTCAACGTCTCGTAAGTTTTAACGTCGTCCACGGAAATGGCTGATGCACTGAATTGTGCACGACAGTGAGAAAGAGGATGCTCGTGTCGTCACGTAGTTGGTCGCTACCGCCCTCACCCGGCGGCGGAAGGGGGCTGCAGAGGTGAGCGACGCGAACGGTCGTGGGCTGCTGGGTTTCGTTTCGGTAAAGGTTTGAAATCGAATGGCCTGCGTTCGATTCCTGCCAGAGGCTTTCACGGGACCCTTTTCTAGCACTGTTGGTGGTGCCAATGAGGTGATCTATCTTGCAACCTATGGTGGCGTCAGGTCCTGTTACGGCGATGTGGGTCACGTGGGGCCCCTTCGGAGTCAGGTCAGTTCGCTGCCAATGTGGGGTGTTCGTAGACCCGTCGCGGTGTCGACTCGCGTTGGCGTCTGAGGTGCAGCTGGCGCCCTGGGAGGTCAGGGCGGACCGCGTCCACCTGGCGCGCGAGGCTGCGGGTCGGCGCGCCGCATCCCTGAGGTCGTATGTTCTTCGGGCACGGCTCGAAGTTAATGTGGGACTGACGGGCCGGAAGCGACATACGCCGAGCATGAATCGAAACAACAGCAATCCTAGTATGAATCGAAACAACAGCAATCCGAGCATGAATCGAAATAACAGCAATCCGAGCATGAATCGAGACAACAGCAATCCGAGTATGAATCGAAGCAACAGCAATCCGAGCATGAATCGAAGCACAGCAATCCGAGCACGAATCGAAACACAGCAATCCGAGTATGAATCGAAACAACAGCAATCCGAGCATGAATCGAAACAACAGCAACTTACCATATGGTCGCGTAATCCCATTTCATCGGCAGAATTTGGTGCAAGTCGAAATTTGGTAGTTTTGTGGATGTTGTCCCTGTCACTGTTGTTGATTTGTCCCTGCTTTTGCACTCATTTCTCAAGGCCGCTGGCGCCTGTGAGTTATTCCGAGGGGCCCTGAGCGCGTTCGGGCCGTACATTGCTGCACATCGAACGTTTCCAGTTGTGTGCTGCGATAAAGATTCCACACAGTGTTTCGCTGCGGCGTCGACGATGGCGACATAACCTAAATATTTAGTTCATCGTGCTAACACCTCTTCTCAAACATAACGCTAACATCAGCTCGTCCTCTCGACCTCAGCAAGGGCTATGACCGCCAATAAGACGTTCTTCTCGTCTATCGCATTGCTGGCTTATAACCCCAGCGTGGATTGCGTAACCAAAGCACCCACCTGATCCCGTGCCATCACATTTGACTCTGTCTGGGTTGTCGGCAGCCGCACGCGGCTCGGCACCGACCTACGCTGATCCGGACCTCGCCGGGCTTCAGTGACTATGTAACGGCACATGTAACCATGTAACCATGTAACGACCATGTAACGGCGCAGCCGGCCTTCTGGGAGGGATGGACTGGTATCTCTTAGCTGGCAGGGCACGGACGCGGACCCGTCTGCTTCCCGGCCGGCTTACAGCCCGGAAATGCTAATCATAACGGGTTATCGGGCGGGCGTGAATGTAATACAGAGCTTTGTCGTTACACGTGAGCCGGAGCTTAGCCGTCAGCGCAGTGTGCGGGATTTTGCAGGAGTTCGTGCGGCTTGAGAAAAGGCAGACGCTCTGATGCTGCGTGATGAGCGGAAGCACTCAACTTAGCTTTAGCGGGCTGGAGTCCTGTCAGCTCGCATCCCATCGTCTCGTTAACAGCAACCTTGACACTTGGCTTTCCGGCGCTTCCCAGCGGGAATGGAGTCGACCCCAAACGGAACATTTGATGTCCGGACGTGTGGTTTGCGGTCGTTTTGTCGCCGCGTGGCGCTGCTGAGCGGCGATGGGTTATCTGCGTCCGTGGGATTCCCCTCGGCGTCCGACCGGGCCGGGTCGTCGGGTCACTGGTCCCAGCCGGGCCAATCCAGCCTGCCCACCCTTGCTGTGTGGTCGGTTCTCTGTGACCTGCGCGTCGATCGGGGCGGCGCTGCGTGCTGGTCCCGTGTACCGGTTAGCACGGGGTGACTTCCTGGTGCACCGGCTCGCCGCGAATGGCCGGGGTGCCGCGAATTATGCCGAGTTGTGAGCGATGCGGTTTGCGGTCTGGCTTTATGTTCCTTTTTTTACGGCAACACGGTCACGTGGCCTGATCCCGTAGAGGACGTCAGCACCCGGTTCCTGGTGCGGAGTCTTACCTCGCTTGCGCCCCGTAGTCTGGGGTCGGTGACTTGTGCTGGGGTACCTGACCCGATCAGTCGCTCGCCCCCGTAGTACATGCCAACGGCCAGCCTGGACCAGGTGACCTGACCTGACACCTGACCTGCGCCCCCTCCCCCCGCGATTTGTGCCGGAGACCGTTGCCACACCCGCCAACCTGACCCGACCCCCGCATTGTGCGACAGCTGTCAGGGCTGTGCCTGCTGACCTGACCGGACCTGACCTGACCTGACCTGACCTGACCTGACCTGGCCCGGCCTGACAGACGCCCTTTACTGCTGTCCACAGCGTACGCCAGCGGCCACTGGCAGGTGCTGGAGCCGATGATGTCTGTGGAGGTGTCGGCGCCGGCTGAGTTCCAGAGCGCGGTGATGGGTCAGCTGAACCGGCGCGCGGGGGTCGTTCTCGGCCAGGACAGCAACGAGGGCTGGTTCACTGTCTTCGCTGAGGTGTGTCCGCGCCGCCCGTCTACGCTGTGCTCAGTCCTCCGCGCGTGTAGGTTCTATCCTGAAGCTAGGTGGTGCGGTGGTGTTCCAGATGTCGAGATGCGGGGATGCAGGCGTGAAGGAGAGTAAGGACGGGAAAGTGTTTGTGTCTGTGAAGTGCTCGTGTTTTCTGCGCAATGAGAATGTAGACTTCCAAGAGACTCGACTCAAGCTATTTATCGCAGCCGTCTTGCTCGGCCGAAGTGGCAGCATGGCGTGTGAAGCTGCCCCTGCCGCGCTCATGATGCATTTTATGACGTTTCGTGGTGCTAGCTAACGCCTTCCTCCGCCCCCCCCCCCTTTCCCGTCGCCAGGTGCCTCTCAACAAGATGTTCGGTTACGCCACCGAGCTGCGCTCGGGCACGCAGGGCAAGGGCGAATTCAGCATGGAGTATGCCCGGTACGTGCCGACCACGCCGGACGTGCAGGCGCGCCTGGTGGAGCTGCACGAGCAGGCGATGGCGGCGGCGGCGGGTGGCGCGGCGGCCGACACGCGCCGCGCCGGCAAACGCCGCGGCTGAGCGGGCTCTCGGTGCCAGAGAGCCGCTCGAGGCGCCGGGCGCGGACGGCGGAGGGGCTTGATGTGGACCAGGCTGCCGTCGCCGCTGCCGCGGACGAGGCACCGCCGGCCGGGGTAGCGCCCGGGTCTGCACATCGTGTCCGGTTCGTCGCCAGTACCCGCGGCGGGAGGACGCTTGTTACAGGCTTTACGATCAGTCGCGCGGCCGTGGGGACGTGTGCAAATAGTACAGTATGGACGATGTGAGTGAGAGGGATTCCCGCACGGCGCGGGAGAAGTGCACGCTCATTTTGTTTTTCGTTTCGACGCTTCCGTTCATCCACTCATTTACGGGGCATGGGAAGCGAATACACCATCATCAACAGTAAACCAGGCTGTTTCTTGTGATGATGAGTCGAGCCGGAGTGTAATGGTGGAACTCGCCCGTGACGTCTCCACACCATTTGCCACATGATGATCCTTCAGATGCCTTTGCTACACATACGACAGTCGGATTATTACAGCGGCCTGGCCGACCGTTGCAAACACACTTGGCAAGTGGACGCCACGTGGCCCAGCTAACGGAGGGGATGACCCTGTGCTGGTGGCTGGGCAGGGAGGTTGAACCGAATTGGCCTTGTAGGTGGGCCATTGCCATGTCGAATTGCAGCTGTTTTGTCAGGCACCTGATGTCAGCAGCCCCGGACTTCCGTCGTTGGGCAGCCGGACACCGGACTGCGCCTCGCGCTCGCTGCACCGCCGCCGAGACGGCCGCTGGGCTGCAGTGTCGGGCTGCCCTCTCCCCCCCCCCCCCCCGCCCCCGGCTCAAATCAGCCGATTGCCGCGGCCGCGGCCGGCCGATGCAGCGAGCGGTGATCGCGCGATTCACTGGAACATTGCGACACACCGCGGTTTTCCCGGGCCTGTTCAATTCAGTTTATTGTTTATTGGCGCTGGGTGTGTGGGCCGGAGCCGCCAGCGGATGCTATCCATCGGCGGGCCGCTCGCCGCCCCACTTCCAGCGCTGCGCGTAGCGTATGCATCAGCTGCGTGTTGCGCAGCGGGTTTTTGCCAGAACGCCGGCTGTGAATCACGCGGCCGGGAAGCGGCTGGGACGCGTCCGGCGGTGACTGCGCGGACGGAAGGCGGGCCGGCCGGCGGTCAGCGCCGGCCCCGGACGCTTCCTCGGGCGGCGCGTCCGGCTCGGTCTGACCCGACCGCGCCCCGGCAGTGTGGGGGTGGGAATCGGCACGGTTCGGCGGAGAGGTGGAAAGCAGGTCGCTGATGTCGGTCGGGCAGCTTCTTTCCAGCGAGGCGGGCAGACTGGCCTCTTTTTGTTAACTGTGAGCACGGTTCGCCGAAGAGACAGAGCACGGCCGTCACCAGAGTCGCCGCAGTGGTTGCAAGTCCACAAGACATTCGGGGGCAATGAGCACAATGATATGCAAAATTATGCGTGAAATCACCCGCAAGACAGGTCGTCAGCTGGCGTCCAGTGCCAGTCAGTGCATCCAGCTGGCACTGGCATCACCTCATGCGGCCGGCGGTAACTAGGGAACAATACCACGAGGGCCGTTGATTTCGTCTTACCACCGAGCCAGCGTGCCACGACATCCATTGCGTGCCTTCCATGAGGATGGATTTACATAGCAGTGGTGCGGCTCGCCGCCCGACCTGCGCGATCCTTGTGCATTGCAGTCCATGCTGGGATTTGGTAGTGTCTTGTTTACTTGGCTCCCAACCCCTGAAGTATCCCAGACGTAACGGAGAAAACGTTGCACGCAAGTAAATAGTGACTACAGCTAAAACATGGTGAAATATTCGTTGAATGACTTGAGCCTTAAAGGCCGGCCTAAATGGTTACCTATTTGTACATCAGAGCGCCAGTAACCAACCAGACGACAGAGCTCGTGTTACCCTGGCTTTTTCGTTTTTACTTGGGGAAACAAGACATTGCTATATCGGTGTAAAATGTGATCATATCTTGAAGCTATGATGAAGATTATCTATCATCCTTCCACGAGACAAACGGTTCTTGGGTTCTTCGTTTGCTAAACCGGCTTCTTTTGTTTATGGCACTGGTTTGGGGGCTTTTTGCGGCGTTGCGGCCTCTGAGCAAACGGTGATAATGCCTCGCGGAGAAGGTCCGGTTTATGGCCCGGAAAAGCAACAAATTGATCAGAATTGAACCGATTGAAAAAAAATTGAATAACTCCCGGCATTGTCTGGACCAGGTGATTTATAACTCGTCCAGTCGTTACCGGTTTTCCCCTTATCTGCTGCCGCCCTTCCGCGCTCGTCAAGTCGCCTGAGCTTCTGGCGCTGTAATAATCCGAACGGTTTCTCCGCGCAAATTTTCGCAATGGCTGGCTGCACAGGCTGGAGTGCGCCTCACGCGTTTTTGCCGTGTAACCGGAAGTCCAGCGTGAAATGCTTAGGTGGTGTCGGTCATTGCTGAAAAGGACTAGACTGTTGACCTTTGGACGTTCCGGCATGTCCAGATCAGGTGCAGGAAGTCGGCAGTTCTGCTCAACGAGAGTCTTCGCGGCTCAACTGTCAGGCTTAACTGTCGGCATAGCTGTTCGACTTAACTGTCGGCTTAACTGTCCGACTTAACTGCCGGCTGAACTGCTCAGCTCAAAGGAAGTGTACCATATTTGTAGATATTGAGGCAGGCATCAGGTATGATGAATTAAGCTCACTTATAGCCGTTGGTATATTAAAAAAACAAAGGACTGTTCAAGACAACACAGTAGCTCTGTTTCGTAAATATGCGCATCAATATGCTATTGTTTGATTACGTCATAGTTCCCAGTACAACTTTGACTGAAAGCCAATTGGCGGCCGTTATGTCTGGAAATGGCGCTCACGAATGACAGACTGAACGACTCGACAATCATATTTTATTGGCCTTGATCGCCGAATGACTAATGGAATGGCAGGATTTGAATTCCGTTATTATGGAGTCATGCATACCCAAGTGACCTTGAAATAGTCTCCCCGAAATAGTCTACACATCTCCGCGGGCGTGAAACTTAGAAACTAGAGGGCTTAGGTCTCAGGAAGTCCAGGACTGCAAATTGTATCGAATGATCTTCAAGATGGCCATTTCAGATCAAAACCCTAAACAAATGTGGAACACTCCCTTTAACTGCCCGGCTTTACTGCCTGGCTTAACTGCCCGGCTTACCCGCCCGGCCGAAGTGCCTGGCTTGACTGGCGACTTAATTGCCCGGCTTAACTGCCGACTTGTTCAGCGGAGGTCCACATTGGATGCCGTCCGTTCCTTCGTCACGTCCTCAAATGAATCTCAACGCAGTTGACAGCAAGCATTGTGACGATTTGCATTTTATTGATACGGCACTCTACCTCTTGCAAAATGGGGAAATTCATACGCGCTGCAGGTCCAGCACCCGTGACGCACAGTCGAAAGGTATAGACACCTCCACAGCCTACTGTTAGAGTTCCGCAGCTGTCACTGCTAAACGCGACACGCATTTCTGCAGAACCCCCACTCACGGTCGCGGTCATATTCGGCGCCCCGTGCAAGGCGGACAATGCCAACAGTCCCGTGCCAGCGGTCGGCCCGGCGCGTGCGACGCGGCGCGTGACCCACATCCGGTTTGCACTGCGCACTGCTTGCCCGGCTCCCGGTGTCCCTCCCCGGTCCGCCCAGCTCCCGGTGTCCTTCGCCTGTCCGCCTGGCTCTCGGTGTTCTTCGCCTGTCCGCCTGGCCCTCGGTGTCCCTCCCCCGTCCGCCCGGCTCCCGGTGTCTTTCCCCCGTCCGCTCGGCTCCTGGTGTCCCTCTCCCATCCGCCTGGCTCCCGGTGTCCCTCCCCCGTCCACCCGGCCAGCGGTCCGGCCTGCGCACAGGACATACCTGTGGTACACACGGCTTTCGCCCCGGGAGCCAGGGGGAAGGCACCGTTGCGTGGTCGTTGCGAGAGCCCACTGACTGTTCACCATGCTTTAGTGGACTGCAGATCCCTGAACGCTGAGAGGTTGCGCTACTTTGGGCGGCATGGAGCTTTGCTGTTCCTGATAGGGGAAGCGCCGGGTGCTGGCGTCAGTGGTGTTGTCAAGTTTTTATCCGCTGCTGGACTTCGGGTGATGTAGTCCACTGTTTAATCCCACAATCAGTATCTGTGCTTCTTAATTGGGATACACTTTCAACAGAGAACTGATCGCATGAATGGAACACAGTCTGGGCGTGAAACGACCTGTGCAGCCGATTCGCCGAAAAAAACACAAACAAACATGCACAAACCAGCCGGCATCATCAGCTGGATGCTATGAGCAGCAACAGATCAGTGCTTCTTCAACAGATGTTGGCATTACTTAAGGAGGCTGTGCCGTGACTGCTGAGAACAGAAACTGGCGTTATCAAACAGACCTGCGGTTGACCGGGCAGCGCAGCACAACTTATCGAGCCTGGTCCGACCCCGACTAAAGAACGAATGACCCAATTCTAGAATCGATTTCGATGACCCGACGTTGGTTACAACGGGTCATGTTGTAGACCAGTCTGTGGGTCCCCCAACAGCTTACTTTGGGCATGTATTTTGATAGACGAACAATCGTCTGTGTGTGTGGCTCAGCAGGCCCGCCCATAGTCTGTCGGTGCACAGTGTCGTCATATCGACTCAGCTGTGCTTCGGTCGACCAACTCCGACTTACACTAACAAGGAATATTCAGTGCGGTCAGTTACACCGAGTCGAGTTGCCGTTGGCCGGTCGCACCCGTGTTACCTTGGTAGCATGCTCTAAAATGGTGCTGCATGGGGGAGGGTAAGGCACGTTATGGATCGTTCTAAGCCTTAGAACATTTATGAGGCATCTGTCTATATTTTCGACATGGTTGTGATGCCATTAGAACCTCGCGGTCCAAAACCCTTCCTGGGTCGTTCTATGCATTTACAAAACTGTGTATGTGTATGACTGTGCATATGCATGGCTGTGTGTATACCTAATCATGCGTACGACCACGACTGTGCATCAGTACATCAGTGCGACTGCGTATAGTACGGCCGGATATATCCAAGTTTTGGGTTACTTTTAGTTGGTGTCAGCAATCAATTCATTCGCGATGCACTCAGAGTGGGAGGGGAAATTCGCCGCGGGCGTCTGAACACTGCCAATGTCGGGTCAAAGCGCTCCGAGGCTGCTTCCATTCGTGCACCGGACCTGGTGGCGCCTCACCCCCGTGGCCGCGTCACTGCCACCTAAGCGCCCCCGGGCAGCCGCGCGGTCGCCGCCAGCCCCGCCGCATTGGCGCTCGGCCAAGGTCACGAGGTCAGCGGGGGTCAGCGCGGCGCGCGAACCCGTTGCCGGGTACAGAAGCGGCGCGGCCGGGAGTGCACGGCCAGTCCGCCGCTGGCCGTCGCACGGGAAGCATGTTGCCGCGCCGCGCGCTGATCGTCCTGCTGCTGACCGCTCTGGCGGCTGCCGTGCCTCTGCCGGAGAGGGTCCGCTCGCGCCTGTGCCGCGAGATCGCGCTCGACGCACGCCCCCAGTTCACGCGGTTCATGCTGGCCGGTGAGACCACCTGCGTGTGCGTGTCAGAGACGGAGGCGACTTGCGAGCCGCTGCGGCTGTACCCGACCGTGGAGCCGGGCTCGCCGGCAGCGCAGCTGCAGCAGTTCCACCGGCCACAGGGCTCCCAGCACGCGCAGCAGGCGATGCTCGCCTTCCAGATCCAGCACCAGTGTCGCGTGTACCTGTTTAACGGCCGTCGGTGTCAGCTGACCTGGCCGTCCGATGGCTCGGCGGCGCCCATCTGCGACTGCGCCGCGGCCGATGGTGCCGTGACCATCCGACAGCCGTTCTTCGTGGCCAACATCGGAGTCCGCAATCAGCTGACGCCGGAGGAGGGCAGCCCCGCCTAGCTTGTGCCGGCGGAGCGGGCTGCTGGCGTCGCACCGCCGGCCGGCGCCCGCTAACCAGCCGGCGCCGCCCCTGGCGTCAGGACCGGCGCCCGCCTCGGGCGCCAGGACTGGCGCTCGCTCTAGGCATCAGGACCGGCGCTCGCCCCTGGTGTCAGGAGTGGCGCTCGCCCTGGTGTCGGGACTGACGCCCGGCGCCCGCCCTAGGCCTCAGGATCGGAGGTCCGAGCCCGGCGCAGACAAAGGGGTGCGAAGCTGTTTTTATGACTTTGTTGCGTTGTTTTTATCATTAGTGTTCTCGCTTTTACCACGTTTGTCGATGTATAGCTGGCGACCTGGGGTGCCTCAATCTCGATACGCGCCGGTCGCCATGACAACGACCACGATTCGCACAGACGGCAACCCACCGAATAAAAACGTCCCGAGTGGTCGCCACGCTGGAGTGCGTTTATCCGCCGTTTCCCCGCCAGTGAGGCCGGTTTCGGTGACGGCATGTGGTTTCGCTCCCAGTTACGAAGCTTTTTGGTCAAGAGGAGACGAAATCCATTCAGGGTGCAGTGATCGATCTCGTTGAGATGAAATACACGTTTCCTTTGAGATGACTGGCATGGTTTTGTCGCCGCGCGATCGTCGGTGTTTCAGTTTCTTCTGGCTCGTTAAGTGCATTGTGCTACACATGGTTCTGAACTTGAGCGTGCCGATTGGGTGGTTGGCTTCCTGGGCCCACTGCGTCGGACAACGGACAGCTGTAGCTTTGAAACACCAGTTGTTTTTGCCCAGCTGCCTGTCGGCCCAAATAGTACCTTGTTCTCAGATATCTCTGCACTGGTCGTCGCAGCCTGGGCTCATACGCTTCTTACGGCTCTCATCGAATAAGCTTGGGCGCACTTGGCAGCACCTGGGCATGGTTGATAATGTATCAGAGTGCACATTTGCTGTATTAGAGCATTCATCCTGCAAAACATGTATGTGCTCACCATCGTCTCTATCAAAATCGTTACTCAGCCAAAATGAACACCTTTCAACATGGAACAAGCAATGCCGGAGAGCACCCCCGAGTGATGACACAGACAGGTCGAGACAGCTCTACTGCCACCTAGCGCTCATGGGGGGAAACAGCCGTTCTGGAAAACACCGCACCAGTGACCCTCGCGCCACCAAACTGAGCGCGACTGACGCCGCGCGCGCCGCCAGCCACTAGCGGACGGCGGCCATGTCGGCGGAGACGCGTCCCAGCGTCTGCTGGTACGCCTGCAGCCGGCCGCTGAGCCCCTCGTGCAGGGCTGCGTACACGGGCGTGTCGCGGCGCAGCTCCAGCTCGGCCAGCACCTGGTCCAGCAGCGTGTACGGCAGCCAGACGGGCGCGGCGGTGGCGTGCAGCGCCGAACTCAGCCCTAGCCGCTCGGGTGCGGCGCCCAGCACGGCCTCCAGCAGGCGCAGCAGCAGCCGGCCGGCCGGCTCCAGCTGGCCCGAGCGCAGCAGCAGCCGGCCCAGCTCCGCCGCGTTGCTGCGCTCGTAGTCGGCCAGCAGCCAGGCGGGCAGCGGCCGACCCAGTTGCAGCAGGCGGCCGGCGGCGGCGCGCAGCAGGCGCGTGTCGCCGGCCGGCGCCGCGGCCAGCACGTGGCGCAGCAGCGCGGCCGTCTGCTCGGTCGCTGAGCCCGCCGCCGCCGCCGCCACCGGCAGCTCGTTCCGGCCGAGCCACTGCCAGGCGGTGCCGTCGCCGGCGCCGGCCGCCAGCGCGGCGGCCAGCTCACGCGCCACTGGCTCGGCGCTGAGCTGGTGCGCGCGCGCCACCTGCATGGCGTCTGTGTAGAGGCGCGCCGCCACCAGGCGCGCCAGCAGCTCGGACGGCGAGCCGGCCAGCACGGCGTCGCGCGGCTCGCACTCGCGCAGCCGCAGGCGCGCCGCCACCAGCTGCGCCTCGCGCCGGATCTCGTCAAGCGTGAGCACAGCCACGCCGCCGGCTCCGTCCCCGGCCTCGCCCTCCGGCCGCACGATCCAGGCGTACTCGGGCTTGACCAGCTGCAGCGCGTTAACGCAGGCGCTGTAGCACTCGGCTTGTCGCTGCAGGCCATCCGGCTCGCCGGCCAGCCGTCGGCCGCATTCGTACATCACCGTGCCGGCCTTGCGGTAGTTGTCGCGGTGCACGTGGAACGCGTACAGCACGTCATAGAAGCGCGAAGTGAGCGGCTCGGAGGCGCGCGCGCGGCCCTCCAGGATGGTCACCACGTCGTGCAGCATGTCCACGTACGGCAGCCGCACCAGCGTGGCCAGGTCGCGCCGCTCGTGCAGCGTGACCACCAGCTGGCGCAGGCAGTCGCGGCGCCGCGACTGCTCCGGGTTGCTGTTCATCGCGGCGTACGCCTCCGTCACGTGGCCCAGCCGCAGGCGGTACTTGAACACGATGGACCAGAGCGTGGCCACGTTCGGGTCGTCGTCCAGCGCCACGTCTATGCCGGCCGTGGCCAGCTCCAGCACCCAGTCAGGCAGCTGGTGCAGCTCCAGCAGCTGGATGATGCGCAGGTAGTAGCGCACGAGCAGGCGCGAATGCGGCTCATCGGCGGCCGGCTCCAGGCGCAGCAGGCGCACCAGCAGCGGCTCGTCCTTGCCGACGGCGTCCGCGGACGACACGAACATGTCGCACGCTTTGTCGGGCTGGCCGAGATTGAGCAGAGCCAGGCCCAGCAGCAGGCAGCGCGAGGCCGAGTTCCAGTCGCACCAGGCCTGGTGTAGGCGCACGTACTCGCGCAGCGCCGCGTGCTGGCAGGTGGCCAGCAGCAGCTCGGGCAGCGCACTCTGTCGGCTGACGGGCCAGACGAGCCGCGTCACGGCAGTGGCCAGCGCCGGCAGCAGGCTGCGCCAGGGCGCGGCCGGCCAGCAGGCGGCGCGCGCCGCCCGCCCGCCGGCGCCACTCACGAACAGCTGCAGCAGCGTCAGCCGCTCGGCCGGCGCCGGCGGCGACCCGGCCGGCGACGCCTCCTCCACGCAGAGCGCCGCCAGCTGGCGCAGCGCGCCCTCCTGACGGTCGCCGCTGACCGGCTCGGCGGGCGTCTCTACCAGCCAAAGCAGCGCGAAGTACGCCTGTACCTGTGGGGGCGCGCGGGGTCCGGTCAGCGCGCTCGTGCGTCGGCTCCATATCCGGGCAGCAAACAACGGGGGCGGGACTACCCGAGGACGCCAGGCTGTGGGTACAGAAACGTACCTTTGTATCTTAACGCAGACTTCATGATTACCATGTTTGTTGACAATCTAACGCATCCTAGCACGAATCCCGACCGTGATAGCGCAACTTGGAGTAGTCGAATGCAGACCAGCCGGCTGGAACATGCCCACAAGACGCGCAAGAAAAGCGCGGGCCGACCTGATCTCCAGCAAAATAGCGTCCAACAACTGGCATTACGAGAACGAGAACGCCCGTCCCGTCTCGCGTAGCTCTGTAAATAACTGACCAGCCCCGCCGCCAACCACCACACATCGCGCTCACGCAGAGCAGCGGTGCCACAGACCGCGACCCCGCAGACCGCGACCCCGCAGACCGCGGTCCCACAGACCGCGGTTCCCCAGAATGCAGTCCCCCAGACCGTGGTCCCACCGACCGTGGTCCCACAGACCGCTGTCCCCCAAGCTGCGGTCTCACAGACCGCGGTCCCACAGACCGGGGTTCCCCAAACTGCGGTCCCGCAGACCGTGGTCCCACACGCTGCGGGAGGACAGGCCGTCGGCGGCCAGCGTCGCTCACCTGGATCACCGTCTCGGGCAGGAACTTGGCACTGAGCTCCATCTCCTCGTCGCCCGTCAGCCCACAGCGCCTGGCCAGCTTCAGCATCAGCGTCTCCAGCAGCACCAGGTCGAGGCTGAGGCTGAAGCGGACGCGCAGCGACTGCTCCACGCTAGCCGCCAGCAGGCCGCCGCCCAGCCGACTGCTGAACCACGTTTGGTCGGCGACTGCCGTTGGCGGCAGCTCGCTGTCGCGCACCTGACGAGACGGGAGCCATTGGGGTCACCGGGGTCACTCACTCCATCTGTTGAGCCACGGCTCCACGACATCGCCCCAAAATTCATCCAGTAGGGTGTGCAGGATGTAAATATAAATTGCTACTACCAGACTTCTGGCTCCTCTGGGACCACAGCACACACGTTTCGTTGGTTTGTTATCCGTTGTCCTTTGACCCCAACCCTGACATGGGACCTGTGGGACCGGTTTTCCCAGCACGAGACGCCTGGAGGCTGGGTTGACCGCCGCCCGCCCCGGTGCTGATGGACCGATCTTGGACGAGCGGAGGAGCAACAGGTACTGAGCCCAGAGCCGGGTGGCATGAACAAAACATCGACACCCCGCCACGCGGGTGGCCGACCATTGCAAAACCGCCCCATGGCCACTGGAGGCCCGATGCCGTCCACCCATCGCAGCATAGATGGCGCTGTGATAGACCGGATTCCTATATCACGCGCATTACCATTACATTAGCATTACATTAGCATCACCATTATACTCCGGTTGGCCCGCGGTAGCCCGATTTGGCTAAATTTGGGACTAGGAGCACACGCAGGTGTCAGTCGTATCGATCTCGCCACGCGGGCCTGGGCCGCCCATGCCGACGCCAGTTCCACACGCGCTACTGCAGGCCGCCTCCAGATCGCCCCCTCCTCCAAAGCCCATCGTCATTCCCCCGCCCCTCGTGACCCGGTGTCACACTCGGCCCGGCCGGGGTCGCCCGCAGAGCGACCCGAACGACCAACGAGGAGAGCTGTTTGGCCGGCCTGGTGCGGTGCGGTGCAGCGCCGGCCTGTGCCGCCCTCCCACCTGTAAGAGCGTCAGCAGTGTGGAGAGGGCGTCCGTCAGGTGCGAGATACCGCGCACCCGCTCGGCCAGCAGGTCGCGGAACTCGGCGAACTCGGGCTCCTCTGAGATGGCGTCCACCACCGAGAGCGCGATGGCGTCGGGCGTCTGCAGGTGCGCCAGGTCCTGGCGCACGGCCGCCGCCAGCTGAGTGCTGATGTGCGTCTCCAGCAGGCGGCAGCACTGCACCAGCCGCGCCACCTCCGACTGGCGGCACACGGCAGCGGGCATGTTCAGGTGTGGGCACTGGACACACGCCTTCAAACGACATCAGCTGGGCACGGACTGTGAGAAGTATTTTCGGTACAAATTGGTGAGAGCACATGTCTCGCAGTCGTCTGTCAAACGTCAGCCATTTCACCGACCGCCGTTCGACGCGTCCGATTACATGGAAAGCGAGTCGGATCCATGGAGCCAACGTGCCAAAACGAACGTTCGAACGCTTCCTCGCGGACTTGCAAAGTGAGAACGCACAGCGACCGCGCCACTCCATGATGTAAGCATGCTAACTACGTCACAGGCTGACACATTTCCACGGACGGCACCACGGCGCAGCGCACCACCTTCCATGCCCGCTTCATAATGGCTCCATTGGCTGCGCGCGACAGCGCCACCACAGGTGAGTGCCAGCGTTCTTAGTTTCGGCATCCGCGTGAATAAAGTAGGCCGGCGCTTTACATTGTCAGGACAACGTGAAGCAAACAACGTTCATGTCAGCTTGGCGGACATGTCAGGGTTTCTTGGGCACATCTGGCACCACGCAATCGTGTTGCTCCCAGTTTATAAGATATAGATGCAGCATAGAGGTGACACGTCGCTGGCATGGTATAGGCAAGAAAGACCTGCTCTTCTTCGGCTTTTCCTGGTTTGGCTCCTGGTAATTCGGCAGTATGAGTTCAGAGGTCTTCTGGTGATTTATCGACCTTCGATATACCAGGAGGGACAGGTTTAGCGGCGTTTTAGACTGGTGGTCATAAGCACGGCGTCACCAGTCGGGTTCTGCCAATAAAACCAGTGTTTGCTCTGCAACGTCGTCTAACCAGTACGTCCTAGTAGATCGAAGGTCAGTAACTCAACATAAGACCTCGGGAGGCATGATATCGCTGGCATGATCGGACACAAAAAAGCATCGAAATTAGGTCCGATCAGCAAACACGACTAGATAAAAACCCCACTTGGGGAGCTTCCATCACATGTACGCCCATACGCGGTTACCACCGCTCCAAGCCGGGGCAGCGTATCTGCGACAGTGACTGTTGCAAACGCGCGTCCGGTTGCAGAAGGCTCGAGCCCGAGCTGCCCGAGCCCAGAAGGCGCGCTGCAATCTTCGCAGCCGACTCATGTAACACGCCAGCTCATCGCCCGCCGTCAGATACATGGCCCGCTCAGATCTGCGGCCTACGCGAAGGCTGTCATGCCAAAGGCTTGCCGGCCCTTTTCGACCGCGTGTGCGCAGACACGCTACCGAAAACCGTGCCCATAGCGAGCTCCGCTGACACTGAGCCTGCAGACGATGCAGCGCGTGGGCAAGACCTCGTCTCGCCGGGCGGCGCCGGGGTCGTTTGGCGGCCGGGCGGCTGGGTCCGGTCGCGCTTCTAAAGCCGGCGCTACTCGGTACTCCAGGGGGAGGCGACCACGCGCCGGACTGATTCGACGAACCAGTGCCGTAGAATGCAGGAAACGCACACAACTAGAATGGGGGCAAACACACATGGTATACCGATGTGTACGATATAAGCAAAAATATGTATGCATAAAACGTTTACGGGTGGTGTTAACAACATACATGGAAGCCGGCGCCGCGAGGTTTCTCAGCGCCGCCATCCTCCCAGCCGGCGCCGGGGGATGGCTGCCTCTGCCGCCCCCTGCGTACCCGTTGCTCGGCGCGGGGGTCGGCGCCGCGCTGAGTGCCGTCCTCGGGTTCGGCCGGCTCCGCCAGCCACAGCTGCTCCACCAGGTCGGCCGGCCGCACGTAGCTGACGAACGCCTGGCGTACCACGGCCACCTGGGCCGACGCCGGGTCGACGCTCAGGCCCAGCGGCTTGGTGGCCACCTGGCGGCGCCGCCACGAGGGCGGGGCGGGTCAGATCTCGCGCGTGACAGATCAGGGGCAGCGCCAGCCACTGGCCGCCGAGAGTGGGCCTTCGGGCGCGTCGTCCACTCAGTGAACCGGCGCTCAGTGAGTGAAGTGCGACCACCCTGGATTGTGATGTGGCGACAAATACAGGTTCGCGTCGCTACTTCGGGTGGAGGCAGGGTCAGAGCAGTATGAGTCGCGACGGCGGGACGGGGCGACTTGTGAGCGTGCCACGTCAGGGCTTGGGCCCTGTTAATGCCAGTCTGACACGAACAAAGCGGCCACACTCTTGATGCTGGCGCTTTCAGCAAACCTTTTTCCGACCGCCACGACCGAATACAAGAGGCTCGCAGATCCCACGCCCGGGCCTACACAGAACAATGGCCGCAACAATGGGTCACTTGCCCATACCCAGCACGCACCACGTGATTCGACGCCGTCCTGACCAGCGCGCGGCACCCAGAGCACCAAAGCAAGGCCGTCGTAGCTGGCAGTGCTGGCGCGCCGCGGCTCACCGGCCGCCAGCAGGCCGGGCCGGGCCGCCGCCGTCGCTGGGGGACAGCGCTGACCTGGTGGTACTGCAGACAGGCCGAGTAGAAGGCGTCCCAGGCGGCCAGCGCCAGCTGGTGGTACTCGGCCGCCGCCAGCTGGTAGTCGGAGGCAGACTGCTGAATCTCGGCCTCCACCGTGGCCACGACCGCCGCGCGCAGCCCCTCCGTCTCCGTGCACTCACTCCGGCTGTAGATGCTCACAGCACGCTGAATGGTGCTCGTCTGGAACCTGCGGGCGGCGGCGAGCCTGAGCGGCGGGGCCAGGAGCCCCGAGCGCGCCAGGTATCTGCACGCCAGAGTCTACAGCCAGCTGTTTGCGACCGCGGCGCAGGCCGCGTGCCAGTGTAGCGGCCACGGCACGACACAGCGTTCGCCCCAGCCAACCCAGCTGCGGACAACACCGCCTCTGCTGAGCCTCCGAAGCACCCCGGAGCCTTTCAGAGCGCCCGGGGGTCCTCCGAAGCGCCTCGGAGCCTTCCGAAGCGCCTCGGAGCCTCCCAAAGCGCCCTGGAGCCTCCTGGAGCGCCCGGGAGCCTTCTGGAGTATCCCGGGGCCTCCCGAAGCGCTCCGGAGCCTCTCGGAGCGCAATGGAGCCTCCCAGAGCGCCCCAGAACCTCCGGAGCCTCCCAGTGCCTGCCAGCGACGGCAGCGGCCGCTTACCTGCCCGGGTGGAAGATGTGGCGCAGATAGGCCTGGCTGAGGTGCGTGGAGGCGGTGACGTGCACGGCCGGCGGCGGCGGCACCAGCTCCACCTCGCACCAGCCCAGCGCGCCGTCCGCCGACAGCGGCCAGTAGCGCAGCTGCGTCTCGGCCTCGGCCGTGGTCCACAGCGCCCACAGCGCGTCTGCGCGCACGGCCAGTGCGTCAGGGCCGAGCGACCACTGACACACGCGTCGCGCTCCACACAGCAAACACCCGGCGTGCCACGGGTTAGCTATGTCATTGGCAAACCTGGCCCAAACGGGGCGTTCGATAACACCATTCTCAGCGTTATTGTAAGGCATTCAACAGCAAGCATTTTAGTGCAATTTTCAATTGTGCACGGGTAATCCGGGTTGGCGTTTTAGGCGGCTGAGTCTAGTTCTTGTAATCCAGCATAACCGGCCGAAAGTCAGAAAGCTGAAACAGCCCATTTTCAAAGGGTTGCCACCTTAATATCATAGTCCACTGCCCCTCTCACAGTCAATCAACACGAAAACAGCGTAATGACTCCCACGAGCACGATCAAACTATGGTGTCTGTTATCTTGTCTGTGTTCTGAAGCTGCACCATGGGAAAGCTGACCAACGGATGAGAATTTCTTAAAGTTGTAGCATAGAATATTGAACCAACCCAGAGTGACGGCGTTTTGTTGTCACTCTGGTATGCTTTCAAGCCACTTGCGCGGAAAATTACGCGTCATCCCTACGGTATTGTCTCCAAGTCTAGTTCAGTGCCAGTTTCACATCTTCAATACACTTCGCAATAAAAAAAATCGCATCTCCTGTTCGAAACTCAGCTTTGCAGCAATGACTTAACACCAAATCACGCAGACACAATCAACAACAGAGATAATAGGCACTTTTCCATTCTCCTGATTTAGCGGACCAGCCACGGGCGGCTGCCACCGACGGAAAGTACCCCGCACAGACCAACCTTCGGTGAGGGCGAAGTCGATGAGGTCGTGGTCGGGCGCGCACACAGTGGCCTCGTGCTCCAGCTGCCAGGCGCCCCGCACCTCCGCCGCACGCACCAGCACGAACAGCTGTTGGCCGGACAGGCAGAGATGGGCGGCCAGCAGCGGCGGCCCGGGCGTCGGCAGCCGGCGCAGGCCGTGACGGCGCGCGCCTGCGGCCGGCGCGCGCCGCCCCTCCGTCACCGCCAGGAGCGCCGCCATCGCCAGCAGGTCGCGCTCCAGCAGTGGCGCGCGCTGCTGCAGAGACCAGAGCCGGAGCCGGCCGTCCCGGCAGACGGCGGCCAGCGCCGGCACCGCGCCGGGCAGCACTAGCACCGCGTCCACACGCTGCTGGCTGCTGTCCGAGAAGAAGCCGAACAGGCGACCGACCATCGAGCCCGTTTGCAGCTCGTGCGAGGCGGCCAGCGGACCCGGTCCCGAGCCCAGGTAGTGCACCACCTGGCCGCCGCCGCCGGGCGCCGCCAGCAGGAACACAGCCTCCCCGGACGGTAGCAGCCAGCTGGCGGCCGTGTGCGGTGGTGGCGGCGCGTCTGTCGGGGCGGCGGCGCGCCGTCAGACGCTGCTGGAGCTGCACGGATAGCTGTCCTCCCCTTTCCCTCAACCCCACCCCTCCGACCACGGAGCGGGCGCGCTGCGACGCACGCACACAGCAACAAGACGGACGACAGGGAAAGACAATTCCAGGCAATGACTTCAGTCGTGGAGAAGTTCAGTCTGGATGTCCCCTGGCAGGGAGTGGCCCCCAGGCCGCGTCGCCGGCGCGCGGCCGGCCGCCCCACGGCACTCACTGGCTTGGCCCTCGAGCACGTGCATGGCGTCCGGCTGGCGCAGGCCCTTGGCACTGAGCTGGTGCAGCAGCGAGGTGACGCTGGTCGGCTGCTGGCCGGCCGGCTGGCTGGGCAGCTCCAGCCGCAGCCGGTGCACACTGCTGACGGTGGCCAGCAGCAGGACCAGCGCTGACCGCGTCTCGTGCGCTGTGATGCCTGTCGAGAGCGGCGGCACGCGTGACGGCCCAGTCACGTCCTACGAAATGCATGCGAATCGTTACTCAGCTCACAGGCCCGGGCGTTACGACGTCGCCATGGCAATGCTAGACACCCAGCAGAAGTGAAGTTGCTGGTTCACCAGGCTTCCCTCAGCCTCGTTCACACACCCTGGCAACAGCACACCAGCGGCGTTGGCAGCTGAGAGCTTCCAGCGCCAGAGAACTGAGACCTAGCGCTGGCAGCCTACCCTCCAAAATGGGCGAGTCGCGGAAGTGTAGGCGCAGGTGACCGTTCAGTATGTCCACGTCGGTCGACTCCTCCGTCAGCTCCAGGGTGTCGTGGTTGACACGCCAGAAGAGGCTGCGCCGCACACCACATGCCACAAACGTGTGCCTGTACAGGAAACAACAAGTTATTAAACTGTGCAGGGCGCAGCCAGGTGAAGACGGTGAACCTCATGCAGCGCTAAGTTGGCTGGAGGGCTTGGAGACACAATCTGCAACAATACCAAGGCCCTGTTAAAGAGAATCTGGATGGTATTCATGCCGCATACGCACTTGATGCTCAGAATTGAGTGTAAAGCATTATAATACCTTTAAAAAATTATTACATCCGTGTCTTAGGTCACGTTCATAACAGATATGTATTGCGCACGAAGCTCATAACAGATCCAGTCATAAAGACGAGGGGCCTGGTGCCGCGCCCGTGATACCTTGAAGCTTTGATGGACCGTTTCTGGATGCCGTGTACATTCCCGCCCAGGCAGTAGCAAGGAAATTGACATCACTCAAAACATTTGGAGCCCCTGGGCCAGACGATGGCGCCGTACACCCCCGGGTTCTTCATGAGTCTGCAGACGTCCCGTCGGTACCCCTGAGCACGCTGTTCCAAAAATCATCAGCGTCCAGAAAGCTTCCATATGAGTGCAAGCTTGGTGAGGCAGTCGCGATCTTCAAGAAAGGTAACCGACTGTCCATTCCAAGGTGCTTGAATTTCTCGTCTGAGATGCACCAATTGACCACTTCTCTTCGAGGATTTGAGTGTTTCCTGCAGTCCACCATGGGCTTCTCCCGAATCGGTCCTGCATCACCCAGCTATTGAAGGTCATGGAGGATTGGAGCACCGCGGCAGAGGATGGCAGCCGGTGGACGTGGCGCACCTCGACTTCAGCAAAGCCTTCGATTATGTGCCTCATGAACGTCTGTGCTCCAAGCTCCATGCTTTCAGTGCGAGAGGTAGCTTGCTGCGCTGGATCAGGGTCTTCCTCACCCATCGGATGTAGCGAGCGAGGGTCCAGGGCTCGAAGTCGGGTCGGATCGACGCTGTCAGCGGCACCCGGCAAGGATCACTGCTGGGACCAACACTACTCTTCATCTTCGTTAACGACCTCCCAGATTACGTGCAAAGTGCGGTCAAAATATTCGCGGATGACAGTACAGTATAATGCAGCATTCCGAGGCCCTGACTGCCTCTCCTCTTTAGGTTGACCTCGACGCCCTGGTCAAGTGGTCGGAGGAGTGGCTGCTCCCCTGCAGTGCATCAAAGTGCAAAGTAATGCACATAGGCAACTGCACCCGGAGACGGACCCATTTCCTGAACGGCGCCGAAATCGCAGTCAAGCCCAGTGAGAAGGACCTCGGAATGTTCGTGGACTACAGGTTTAATCACCATGTGCAGACAGCGGATGCAATTTCGGAGGCCAGCCAGATGCTGGCGGTCATGAGGTGGACATTTGCCAATATGGATGCGCAAACACTGCCATTGCTGGTTAAGATCATCATCCACCTGTATTTGGACTGGGGCTACATTATCTGGGGTCTGTTCACCAAAATGGGCCGGGAGCAGCTGGAGCAGTCTCAGCGACAAGCTACACATCTTGACAATGAAGTGATGCAACAGCCATACCCTGAGAGGCTCAGACTCCCCCAGTTGCCCTTGCTGTACTACTGATATCACAAGGGAGACATGGTTTCAGTGTGTTATCTTAATTTAGGCCAAATACAAAAATAGAAAGTCCTTTTAATGCTTCAGGTCCAATAATATTATGGCAGAAGTATGGCAACACATGAGGAATTGTCATATTCACAATAAAACAGCATCTCATACCAGACTTCTTTAAATGAAAGATAACACTAATATCAACAACAAAATGAGTTAAACCAGATCTGACATGCTTATTTGCAGATAATTATAATATGCATATACATCAACATAACCCAAGTGACACTCAGTACATGATCATAACACTCCCAATAATTGACCAGAGAATGCTTAATATTTGTGATGTGCTTACCCTCCTGAATACTCTGGGAGTTTGATGTCTTGAAGTGTTCCATGAGATGCTCCAGTATTTATTACAATATTTTCCCATACTACCGAATGTGACAAATTTGGGTAAACCTCCAAATTTACACTTTCATCCAGCCAGTGTCCAAAAGGGTCCTCAGGTGTGACTCTGTCTAAAAGGTCTGAAAATGACTTTTTATCTAATCCCTGTTCAGGCACTGAAAGTGGAAGATCCGAACAAAATACAAAATTTTCACTTTCTCTCATCTCATGGTCAATAAGGTCTTCAGATCTGGTTTCATGAAGATCTGGAGAAACATTTCCCGAAAATCCTCGCTGAGACATCTTCAACAGCTAAATCCACAACATACAATTAGCCACTGGCAAAAACGTCTCCACATGTGCCTTCGAACTTATAATCCCAACTGCAATGCCTTGTTTCCATATGTTTGAAGATTTTGGGTTTAAATTCTCACTCCTCTCAACCGCCGGTGACAACTGATCCCAATGTTAAAGCCAGGGTCCCTGGAATAGGGTGAACAACACGTCCGCAGATACCGCGTGAAACGCTGCGTTACAAATGTAAGGGTAGCGCTGCAATTGGATATTGTGTTTAAATTCCTATGTTCGCTACAACCATACGTTATCAATTTTTGCTCTCGTGAGCGACTTCCATAAAAGCTGGGGCTCATGCAGGCGCCGGTGAGTGAATGAGCATGACAGGTTATGGAGTATCTGGGGGAGGGGTACCGGGGCGAATTGCACCTCGTCTTTTGTGGTTAAGGCGAATTATGTTTCCCCACAATTTCAGGTGGCCCGCAAATGACCCGCGGCTGGATGGAAATAATTTGCTTAACATGAGATCACAGTAAACGTGGATGGCCAATATCCGTTTGGAAAGGGTCCGTATCTTAGGCTCAGAAAAGGATCTTGTGGGGCCTGGAAAAGGCCCATCTAGTTTCAGGCGCGGAAGGAGCTCATTGCCGATCTGGAAAGGGCCTATCGCAGATTCCAAATGGCCCATCTAGGGCCAGGGAGCGCTCGTTGGGAACTCAGAAAGATCCAGTGGTTGGTCTGGATCAGAAGGTTGTCGTAGGTTCAGAGGGGCCCTCAGAGATCTGGAAAGCGTATGGCATAAGCTCAGAATCAGCCCGTCTCAATTTATGCTGCTTTTTATATTTTGGATATGAATATAATGGCTCGTCTCAGTGTACTCCAGATAATTTATCATTTTCGTGCTCCCGTTGGTGGCTTTCGCGGTGCTGGCAGGATGGGGCACAGGAGGCACTGTCCTCTCCCCCCCCCCCCCCCCTCTGAGGTTCCCAAATCCCAGCCTCCAGTATTTCACAGCTGGTTCCGTATCGGCATGGGCCCCAAGGACTGACCGTATGCTACATTAAGAACGGCCCCCGCCCGCAGGGTCGTGGCCTTAAATGTCAGTCAGAGAGTTTTGGCATCGGTTTGGGACGCGTGGGACAGTGCGGGTATATATTTCGGCCAGAGACCATCAACACTGAACAGTCGTTTCCATGTCGGTCTGAGTCCTGGTGGTCCATTTCCCCAAACACGAGCGAGGACAGGCCGGCTATTGGCATTGGCCGGGGCTCCTGAAACAATTCGAGTATGCACCAGCGGCCCACAATGCCTAACAGGGGTCGTGTGTGGGCAAGGAACCTCGAGTCGGTCAGAGGAACATTTTCTGAACAAATATAGCGACGGGATGCTGAATGTCAGTGGGTCTTTTATGTTGGTCAGAGCAACAACACAACATGTTTTCAGCTTCCACTCAGCATCATTTTGTGTCAGCTCAGCAGTTCTGGATGTTCTTGAAGTTTCACTTAGATTCATGGGCCATCGGTCTGCCAGCTTCATTTTATCACCCCGAATTGGGGGGTACTATGATAGCTTGATTCAAAATTCCACATACCAGTGTCTGAGCACTTAGCCTCACTATGTGTCAGATCAGTTCTAAAATAGTGTGGCCGGATGAATTCACATTAGGCCATATATCCATAAGATAATGTACATGGCTTATGAACTCTGTTTCTCTTGTTTGATGGTTTATGGACTATATTTGTCTTATTTTCGGTCTCGACACGGAGCAAAACAGTCGGCTGCATGTGAGTCCAAGCTCTGGAGACCCATTTCCCAAGCAGGACCCAGGCCAGGTTCCGTGATTGCCGTGATAGGGGTCACTGACACAATGAGAGGCCTCTGTGTTAGTCAGGGGTCCGCAGTGCCTAACAGGGGTTCTGTGCCACCAAGCGCCCGAGTCAGTCAGGAGCAGTGTTCGAGGGGGCCCGAAGAGGGGTCCGAAGTGTCTCTGAGGACCAAAGATCGAGGGCCCAATTGGAAGGCTGAACGGACCGAAGGGCGGGCTGTAGGTCACATTAACGGTAATGTTCTGAATTTGAAGATTTGAAGCAGGCATCAGATATAATGAAATAATCTCATTTGTAATCAATCACTAGTGTACTTTCAACTGGAAAAGATTGCTCTGGACAACAAAATTCTCTATTTAATAACTTTGTCCATTAATATACCATTGTTTGATAACGTCACGAAACGCTCACATGACCTTAGAGGCACTGCTGAACCGGCCGTGCGAAATTGGCCCCTAGCATTCACTTTTAGTGCTCCAACTCGCCAAGAGATAGCAGTGGCGGTGCTGGGCGTGTTTGATGAAGCAAATATCGTTATGAGATCATGTGTCAGCCTTTTCTCGTGGTATTCTTGCACATATGTCCCTGAGTTTGAGTTGTTTGCTGGTATTCACACACTTGGTTACGACGATATTCCTAAGTTATTTGATGTGCTGGCTAAATGAGCATGTTGTCATGCATCACCGTTATCCATTTTCCTTCATCCCATTATCCTGACATGGTCACTAATGGTCAAAAGGCCTCTAATCCAAATAACCGAATGTCTTTGAATATGGCTCTGCTTGCACAACATTGATCGAGAGCCGTGTTATCTAGAAACAACGCTCAAGAACGTCAGACATGAACGGCTTGACGATTATTTTCTTCCTGGCCTTGAACACAGCATGGCAAACAGGGTGGCAATGTTTGAATGACGTTTATGTGGCGTCGTGCAGGCCTGGGTGAGCTTGAAATAGCCTGTACAGAATAGTTAACGCATCTTCGCGAGCATTTATCTCAGTAACTAGAGGTTTTCAGTCTTAAAGGGAGTGCTCCACATTTGTGTAGGGTTTTGAGCTGAAAAAGCCGTCTGGAAACTTATTAGGTGCAACTCACAGGCCCACCCTTCTCAAGACCCAGGCACCTCTAGTTTCGGAGCTACACGCCCGCGAAAATGTGCAGACCTTTTCATGCAGACTATTTCAAGGTCACCCAGGTATCCATGACGTTGTAAAAACGTCATTTAAATTCTGCCATTTCATTGGCCATGCGGCGATGTAGGTCAAGAAAAACATGACAATCGAGCTGGTCTCATATAGCGTTCGTGAGCACGATTTCCAGATATATCGCCCTCAATCAGCTCTCAATCCATGTTGCACAAGGTGTGATGACGCAATCAAACAATGACGCAATGAGGAACGCGTTTTTATCAATAGAGAAATTGTATCGTCTACACGAGTCTTTTTCCACTTAAAAAATACCAATAGTTTAAAGTGTGCGTATGTCGGCATATCTGATGCTTGCTTCAATGCCTTCAAATGTGGAAGATTCCCCCTCAAGAGGAACCGGGCTATGAACTGCACCCAGTGATCTTCAAGAGGACTATTTCACCTCAAAACCCCTTCTAAACCCCTTCATCTAAAGGTCAGTTATCATTTCCCGCCTGGACTCCCAAGAATACGGTGTGTGTGTCAAGACAGCCCACAGTCAGCCCACGCTCAGCCCACGGGCGGCCTATACAAGCGGCCCCTTCAAAAACGCTCAAAATGTGATATGTAAGCGGTCTGTATGAGCTGAACACATCAATACGCCCCAATGCGCGGGGAATACAGAATTTTGACTCCTATAGCTAGTTTTGCAAGATTCACTTGCTATTAGTCAATACTTACCAAATTAAGCAAGTCGTACATCCAAAATGATCGGCTTTGTCCGATTTGGTCAATGGTGCCATGGAATTTCCCAAAAGGCCACAGAAACTCAGCAAAATTCAAGTAAGCCAATTTTTCAGCTAAGCCAAACCACTGTCCACGCTGAACCCAAAGGTCGGTCAATACAGGCGAATAATTCTCAGATAAATTTTCCCTGGTCATGTGACACATCTGTTTCCCTGCAAATTAGGCTGGAAAAAGCAGGTTTTCGCCCAAAAAACAAGGGTGAGCTATCTCAGCAAAAATCAAATCTTATCGAATATGGTCGCATGGCACCTCAAACAGCTCGGCATGCCAAGCTGATTCTTAATCTGGCCTTTGTTTTCCAGCTGCATTTTTCTTTCTGGAGTTACAGCTATGTAAAACTAGCTTTTCACCTGATGTTTTATTTCTCATTGAGATTAACATGCGAGCCAATGGGACTAATTTCGTCGGCCCCTACGATCTCCCTGATTCTCAGATAAATCGTACCTGAATTTCACCAAGAGTCAAATTTCACCGAATATACTCCTGTTGTACATCACACGACTCGGCTTGGCAAACTGATTCCAGATCGGGGTCTGGTCTTTTATTTGCATTCTCTGTTGCTTAGTTACAGTGTTGCGAAATCCGTTTTTCACCTAATGGTTCATTTCACCTAAGGCTCAAAGTTTCCAGTGCATCACAAACGGCAAGCTCTGAACAGCGTATCGCTAGTTGTCGTATCATCCAAGGCCACCGCAGCTGACCCCAAGCAACCTGCCACGACAGCACATTTTTTCCTCCGTTTCATTACAATAAGTGCTTAAAATGAATGTGCGACACTATCAAGCTCCAGAGCATAAAACGGCTGTTTTTGATTGTTGCCAGCCGCTGCCCAAGCATGAGAATGGTGACTTCAGGGGTAATGCTCACACAAAAGGGTCAGCCCGCGATCATGGTGAATCACCAGCAGATTTTGCTCAAGTTATGTGTTAGGGTGCTTAAGGTGCTGATAACGTAACGCAGCTGCCACAAGCTCAACTGTATCAGCGATGGACTGTTGAGACGCTCCTGGCGCATCACAAAACGTCAAGCTCTGATTTTTGTAGCACTAGCAGTCGTTCTTTCCTGGGACACGGTGATGCAGCAGTCTGAGGCAGCCCGTTGCGAGATCTGCTTGATTCCCATGAACATCCGGCACGCATTCAACTGAAACGTAAGCAAATAGGCGATGAACCGCGACACTGTAGCAGACTTACTTACGAGGGCTACACAGATGATATAGAAACATACAAAGACAACGCAACGCTTTACACGTAGCAATGTGACCCATGCCTTCTCAGCCTAGGGATTGCAAGTCATATGGTTGTCACTCCAGTATGATCTTTTGAAGATGGCATGTGTCTACCTCGTTTCTAATTTCAGTGTCCTTATTTTAGAGTTTGTGCTCTCACAAGGAATGGGTCTGGTACTCCTTGCATCTTGTG